CTAGTGAGACTGCTTAGGGAACTTAAATAGGAGAAGATCAGCCTTTCCAAAAGAATTAAATCATATTTAAAAAAAAATAAAGGCATTTTTCACTTTTAAAAGCAAAACCCTCTAGAAAATATATGAGAAGAAGAACTAGGACCACCTCTTGAGAAGCAACAAGCCATGGGATCAAGCCAGCTATGTTATGAAATGATGCCCGAAGTCAAAATAATGTGGCAATTTCCTTAGAAACAACATTGAAGAAGAAGGACCTGAGAAAATTACCTCTGCAACCTATCAGAACTAGTCTTTGCAGTCTTCAGTAGTGATCAGATAAGGTTAGCAGAATTCCTCCCAGATATTACTTCACACTTGTCTCCCACAACTTGCAAAGCATGCTCCGCATTTTCATTATTTTTAAATACAAGCAGATAAACTGACAGGCAGACAGCCTTTTAGACAGTGAAAAGGCAACATTGCTGCCTCTTTTAAAATCTCAGATTCATCAAACCACCTCTCTTGCTCACTGTCCAAAGTAAACAATTTCACAGCTTCTCAAAACAATACACTTAATTAGGTCAAAGCTTTCACTCATCATCTTACATTCACCCTGTCAGCTGTTGCATTACTTTCTATCAAGGACAATATTGATTGTAAAATTTTCTATTTTTTAAACTTACAAGCCATCCTCCTTCCTAAACTAACTCTCTCTCTCTTTCTCATCCAAAAATCTTCAGAGAACGGACAGAGGTCCTTAAGCCTCTCTATCACACAAAGCTACTTTACTCTAGGCAAATCACCAGCACCTGATGGACAGTTTTCCAATTCATGGAAATTCAGCATTTTAATGTTACATAATCTCTTCTAATAAATTTCCAATTTTATATGCAATGTAGGCAAAAGAAAAATGAGTCCAAATTGGTTTACATGGCATAGACTAAAAGTCTGTGTATTATAAAAAATACAAATGAGCCAGATATTACAAAAAATGCTAATATAATGTGTCATTCTGTCTTTTCTAAAACAACACATATCAGCATTATCAAAATACATACATTTATAAAAATGACCATTTATGAGAAAGTAGAGAAGATTAGAAATTATTTAATGCTTTAATGCATCATTAAGAACATATAATACTGATGAATATAAAGTAACTGATGACTTAATTGGCTCTGTTGGGGATAATGCTGACGATGCCACATAGAGCACAAAAGAGTACAATAACACTATTTTCTCAAGTTCTTCAGTTATATTTAGATGCAATAAATGTTCTAAATATAACACATTTGAAAGAGTCAATGAACATAAAATCTGCCACACTGATTTCAATCTGTTTGTTTAATGCAGAGTTTTACCACTGGCTGGAGTTAAGGCTGAGGTTCATAACTCAAGCAAGTGCTAAGCTTGGGAATATTTCTGCAAAGAAAAACAGTAGATGGTATTGGGATGATGCTTTTATTTGTGATAAACATTTCAAGAAACTAATTTTTATGAAGAAAAGTAATTATTAAATATTCATTTACACACAAAGCTCAAAGTTTGATGATCAAACCTGGAAAACATCTAATTACATCTACTCTGCAGTGGTATTAATGTCACAAACAGACGCCTGAAACCCCAAACAGACCACACAGTGGCCTAATGAAACTAGGCTCTGCCAGAATTTTCCTTTGAAGAAATCTGACAGAGGCAAATTCACTGTAGGTTTAGTCACCTCTGATTATTCTACCAACGAGTAACTAATTCCATGTTGAGGGAAACACTTCTTTTAATCATTATCGTAAAAGACAGTTCAGTGTAAACATGGTTTATATTATATTTATCTTACTGAAAAGGACTTATGTTTGTAGTTTACAAAAAGCACTTACAGTCCCACTAAAGCCCTATGGTGCAAAGACTCAAGTGACTAACACGGCTCCTCAATTTCTCTTTCTGACTCCCATCATTTTTTAATCTCCATCCGGAACAAAAGTTACCTTGTTTTAGAAGACGCTAGTGGATTAAACATACTTCATAATGCTGACATTTATTAGGGCTGGAAAACAGAAGATCAAAGAGTTCCAAGAGAGATGAAGAATTTAAATTATTAACTAGTGTTGTCACTGGAACTCGGAGATCCTGCTCGTCACAGGACTCAAGGCAGTTTCATACGAACAATGTGGTAGCCCTCACTTAAGCAGGGGCAGGTGAGCAGCATTAGAGCAGACGCTCTAAACAGCATTAGAGAGACCTCCAGGTCTCTCAT